CGTAGTTATGACGGTTGCAGTATCCCTGGGTCATGTGATCGCCTTTTGCAGCCTTCGGACACGCAAACTCAACAGGGAAACCAGGTTCACTTAGCAATCATGTTATTTATAACTACAGTGATGTACTTAACAAACAAATATGGCAAGAAAAGTCATAAAATGCGGCAAAACTCACTTAACTCAATTGTGGCCGAAAGTTGAGGACTACCTGTAGATGCAAGGTATCTTTTTTATGGAATGTTTTTTATTCTGCTTCACCTAGGCCCCCTCTCTGTCTTTTCCTGCTCCAATAAGTTCAAAGATATTTGTGTCTCCACCTAGATTGCTCTTCTTGATTTTCTGTGTAGCCATATGAGGACAAAGGGCTACTGAAATCCCTCAAGAGCATCTCATATCCTCTTCCAATTGCTACAAGAATGTCATCTCAGATTCAGAGCCTTTTCTGCTAGCTAGGAAAAAGGTTACAAATAGATCTAGGCCATCCTGAGTCCTAAACTGTTATTTAAGTTCCACACACACTCCTAGACACTCTCCAAACTTTGGAGGTGGGTGGAAGCGTGCAATATTTTTTAAGACTGAATATCAAAACTTTCATCATAAAATAACAATTTTCCTAAATAAGAAATCTTGGTGTATCGGCTAAATTTTGATGGGATTGAATCCAAAATGGTCTGCTTAAATGCATGGAAGAAAGATATTTCCCATGGAAAAGAGAGAACATGGTCATAGAATTACTTACGATCATTTTCATTGTATGTTCCTCACTCAGTGCATCCTACAATGGAAACAAAGGGTATCAGCTCAATTCTCACCTGACAATATATATGACTTCTCCAATGGTGCTACCTCTGCAATTTCATATAAAAATTAATCCTTTCCCTGTTCACAGAGGTCCTTTAATAGGCATACTGTTGTGGTTCGCTGGCAGCAGGTGCGGATGGCTGAAGTCTCGGAGAGCAAGGACTTGGATGAGGGGCCTGCGTGTGATGTAGGGATGGGGCCAGGACTATCAGGGAGTGGAGTGCTGCCTTCGGAGTTTGTGGAGGCTGGCAGCAGTGATGAAGAGCACCCCAAGGAGCCTGTGCCCAGTGCGCATGTGCGCGCAGGGCTGCTCGAAGGAAAGAGCAGCTGCAGCAACACAGGTGACTCGGGAGTAAGGCTGCAAGGTGATGGCCCCTCCCATAAGAGATAAAAGCCAGCTGAGAAACCGGAGTTCTTTGCAGGAAGCAAAGAAGTTCTTGCACTCAAGCCTTGTGGATGTTCGGACTATCTTGGTTTGTGTTTGGAGTTGGAGTTTGTTTTTAATATTTCTTGAAAACTTAATCTAGTGTTCTTGGCAGCCTTGCACAACCTTGGCAAGGCTTGTTCTTATCTGGGACAATTAGTTTTTAATAGCCTTTTAACTAAAGGAACGGAATTTGCAGAGAAGCACTAAAAGGTTTTGCTTTTACCTCTGCTGTTTGTTTCCTTGGAACAAGGTTTGGGTCAGAACACATACATGTCTCTTGGGATGAAAGACTGTGACTTCATGAAATACTTTGGATTGGATTGTTTGAAACAAATCTCTCATCCTGGATTTGCAAACATGACTCAATAAAGTAATGCCTTGAAAACGAGGGGATGAAATCCATTTTACCAGCAAAATTGCAAGTGATGCCAGTCGCAGCAACCGTTAGAGATAGAAACTTCTCATCCTCGGCACCTTTAAGTTATGTGGACTTCAACTCCCAGAATTCCCCAGACTGCATGCTTGGTAAACTCTAATAACTTCCTTTTATTGGCTGGGGAATTCAGGCATTGTAGTCTCCACACATCTTAAGGTTGCTGAATGCTGAGGTTAAGAAACAGTTCACTAGAGAAGAAAACTCTCCATAGGCCCCTTCTATTCAGAAGGGATAAATGTTTAATTTAAAGAGCTCAAATTCATGGCAGCATCTGTGAATTGGTGTTTGGTGAGTGTTGGTGGAAATAAGAAGCCATAGGTTGATGCTTTTTATCCTCCAGAAAACTGAATAATAAGGACTAGGATTACTCCAGGAAAGAGCAACAAGATAAACAACGAACTACTTACCATAACTTTTTCAACTATATTACGATTGTCATTTCCCTGTGAAGGAAATGAAGGGTATGATTGTGATCATCACATGATAATTCATAACAAGATGGCTTCGTCAACTGTTCCCTCTCTAGATATTAGCACATATGTAAATGGTTGCATTCTCCAAATAGGAAACCCATAGTTCTTACTAAAAGTGAGACGCCTCAGTGTTTTAGGTGGTGGAATAAAAATAAAACAGGTGCTTGTTCAGTTCAAAAAAGAATATGGGGAAAAAGGAAATAAAATATACTTACCGTGTTTCCACCTCCACCACCATTGAATATACTCTAAAATGGAAACAAAAGGATACCTTTATTATTATGGTGTGGCAGTATAATTATCGGGCGGGGGGGGGGAAGAGTCTCCAGAGAGCTATTATGGTCACATCTAAGAAGGACAACATAGAAAACATAGAAGAAATGAGACAAATTAAACGTGTATCTACTTACTATCAGTTTAGATACTCCTTTGCCACCATTGGCTTTCTTGATAATAGGTACTATCTTTTTTCCAATTGACTATAAGGAAGAAGAAGAAAAAACATTATGGACTCTGTCATAAGTCATTTTCATTGTGCAAATGCATGATACGTGCGGACCTTGCCTGGGCCACTGCAGCCCGTTAAAATAAACTGGTGAGCTCTTGAAGGTGATGGAGGATACTGATGTGAATGGCCTCACAACATCAGAGTAGGAATGCAGAGCCACATCAACCTTTGAGGGAGGCAGAATCAGGAAGGCTACAACAAGGGATTTCAGGAAAACTATCATAATACATATTAGCAGAATCTTGTCACTTTATTATTCCTTTTCAAGGAGAACAAAGTCAAGCTGGCTTTACAAAATAAATGGTGATAAAATTAAACCTGGGAAGGGAAATGAGGAAACAGGTCTCACTACGAAAATTGCATCTGACAGAAAGACCACTAGAGTCAACAATTTACCATTTTGCAGAGAGAAAAATTGCAATCAAGGAAAAGTAACTTTGGATAAACCCTCCCCATCGAAAAAGTGTCCCTTGGCGACAGTTCCAAAATATAAATTTCTCCCTTAGCTATTTGGTATAGTGCTATTTGAAACTGCTTTAAAAAGGAAAGTGAAAACAGATGAAATATTTTGGCCCTGTCTGCTCTGTTTCTGCTCTGGGGTCCCTGAAGATGCTTTCTGGAAAGTGTGAATTAACAAACAAGTGTTTTTGGGATGCAAAACAATATTACTCAGAAAAAGCAAAGAATTATGAACAAATGTATACTTACAATAAACGAAAAAATATTAATTTGATGTTCACCTATATTCTATAAGGGAAAAAAGACAATACTTTTCTTTATTATTTATTTTATTAATATTATACGTTATTTATATTATCGGCCCGTGATGAGTTAAGTGTTGCTGTCTCCTCCCTCTCGCAGTGCCTGGAAGCTGTTAGGGACTGGGTGGGGAGCACTGGGTTGAAACTAAACTCTTGCAAGACCAAGTGGCTCTGGGTTTGGGGTTCATTGGCTCAGGGAGAATTGCCACCTTTGGTCTTGGATGGGGTGGCACTACCACAACGACTCCTGCTCAAAGAGGAACTCTATCAGCGGGACTGGGGAACCCAGAGCGGGATGGAGCCCATCAAATGGCTCATGTGATCTGCTATTGTCGGGGGGGGAGAATCGGGGGTGTGATTTTTTTCTATTGTACTATATTAATTTATTTGATTCTTTTTGTTAGTTTGTATTGTTTTTTATTTTAAATATGGTTTTATATTCTGTAAGCTGCCTTGAGTCGCCATGGGCAAATAGACTGCAATATAAATTCAATAAATAAATAAAATAAATAAATGTTGAAAAGACATCACACATGAGTTCTCCAACTATGGCATCTGTACCATCTTTGACATCATATATATGAATGGCTTCATTCTACAGATGAGATACATGCATTTATAATCACAACAGGGACTGACAGAGCCCAAAAAGCACAAATGGGTAAATTGTGTTCTGAAACACTTGGTTTCATTTTCTTTTAAATACAATCTTCCCCGGTGCTAAACATCCTTGTGGGCAGTTCTGAAAAGGCCTTGTCCACACACACAACCAAATGAAGTGGCTTTGGAATTGTGGTCAGTGTTGTCATAATACAGAGATGCTTCATTACAGGCAGGAAATATATTATTCAAAGAAAAGGTAGAATATGAAGAAAGAGCTACTTACAATTAATTTTCCAATTTCTTTTGCAGTCAAAACATTCTACAAAGGGAAGAAGCATGTCAAATTCTATTCTGACTCAGACCCCCAGGACTTCTCTATTCCTGCCATCACTCCCTTTTTAGATAACATTTACATGCATTGCTGCTTCCCTCAACTTAGGAAACATACTTTTCTTATCACAACAGGGAATGCTTAGTCTAAAAAGCACATTTAAATTAATAGAGTTCTCAGGCATCTTTTTCCTTTTGTTCCACTTTTGTATTTTCTTCACATTTGTTATACACCTATACATCTAAGGTACCCTTATGATGGATGTTGTTATTTTATTCTGCTTCACATACCCCCCCTTCTACTTCCTCTGCTTCTTCCTCCACCAAATGAGTTCAAACATGAAATATAAACATTAAACATGCAGACTTATGTGAAAGAGGGCTACTGAAATCCTACAATAGCATCTCAAAGCCTCTTCTAATTGCTACAAGAATGTCAGCTGAGATTCAGAGCATTTTTCTGGCCAGAAAAAAAATATCCCCAAACGCTTTAGATCATCCTGAGTCCTAAAGCTGTTATTTTTCCACTCAAACCATTCCCTCCCATTAAGATTTGGGGATTGTTGGAGGTGGGGATTTTTTTTAAAAAAAAAGTGTATGATTGCATGCAAGACAGATATTTCCCATGGAAAAGAGAGAAGATGGTCAAAGAGCTACTTACAATTATTTCCAATGTAAGTTCCTTGCTCAGTTCTTTCTGCAGTGGAAACAAAGGTTGCTTTAAGCAGTTTAAAAAACAAATGTAAAGACAAGGCAAATGTTTTCATCCTATCTGCTGGGATTCTGCTCTCAAGATTCTGCAGATGCATAGCTGGCTCATCACAAGACGTGTCACAACACCCACACCCGAAGCCCTTATAAACAGAAGAACACTGACAGTGACATCCCCTAAACTCCGCTGAAGATGTTACCTAGCCTGCTAACAAAATGTTCAGAAACCAACCCACAAGCTTGGAGAACAAACCTTTACCCTCATCCTACACCTGAGCTACAGATATTCGCTACTATTGCAATGATTTAAGTACTAGGGGAACAAAAATGAAAGAGACCCTTGTTCAGATGCAAGAGGTTAAAGAAGGAAACAGAAGAAGACGAATCAAATCTACTTACTACCAATTCAGCCAGATGACCATGTTTGACAATTGCCGTCTACAAAGGAAACCAAGAAGATCAGTTCTGTTCTGATAACTATCAATAATTATTACTTATCACAGGTAACTTCAGTTCCATATATCAATGTCATCTATATATTGCGTTCTCCAGATAGAAGCTGTGCCTTTCTAATCACAGATGGAATGATAAAGACGCAAGAATTAATAGCATTCTGAGACATGTTAATGTTGTGAGAAAATAGCTTTTATGATTTGTTTTCTTTTTAAAAAATTATTGGGCAGCTTTTTGAAAGGTTTCCTGATATCCTCATTTAAACATTTCTCCTAAATTTAACTACAGGGAAGACCTGTGAAGCCAAGTCTCTTTCAACTTCAGACAATAGTCAAAGCAACACCTTCCTTTCAATGTTTCCAAGAGCTTATAGCTTCCTGCTGGAATTCTTCCTGAAATGTCTGGAGATCCTTTGGTGGGAGTGAAGCTCAAGAGGTCTGATCATATCTAAGAAGGATAACATAGGACACATAAAAGAAATGAGATAATGTAAGTGTATATCTACTTACTATTAAGACATATATTACTTTATCACCATGTGATATTCCCTTTAAAAAGTATAATATCTTCTCCATGAGGTCCTACAAGAAAAGAGAAAAATCATTATCCTCTTTTATGGATCCCTTCGTAACTATGCTGTGCCAGTACATGGTATGAGCATCCAGGTGGGCCATTGCTGTTCATTAAACTGGGGAGGGTCATAGAGGATATTGATGTGAAGGACCTCACATCAGCAGAGAAAGTACATAAAGCCACATCAGCTCTTTGAGGTAGGCAAGGTCAAGGAAAGCCATGGCTGAGATTCCAGGAATGCCATTATATTGTTGTCAGTTTTAACCGCAGAATCTTATATCCCATCCAAAGCCTTCATTACTTCTTTTTAAGGACAAGAAAACCAATCTGGGGCTAGTCTGACTCCCTTTCTCACCCCTTCTACTTACACAGAGCTGAACAACCATTTTCTTCTCCTTCCCTATCTCAAGGCCAGAGCTAAATTTCCCTAGAAGCCATAACCCAGCCTGAATATTAAAACCCTCTTTGACCAGTCAGTCTTCCATTTGGGTGTAATTTTGACTTCATAGTTGAGTTGAAATCATTTCACATTTTGCAGAGAGAAAAACAACAAGTCGGGAAAAGAAATTTTGTAGGGACCCTTCCAATGTGAAACATTTCTCCTGGGGATAATTTCCATAGGGCCTAGATGACACATACAGCAAAGTGAAGAGGTATTAGGGTTTGGAGCCAGAGTTATATGGTTATAACAGCTGTAACTCCCAGAAGTCCCCAGCTACATGCTGGCTGGGGACTTCTGGGAATTGAAAGTCCGCACGTATTGAAGTTGCCAAGATTTAGAATCACCGACACTACTAATGGCAACAACAACAACAACAACAATGAACAATCGCACTAACCCTTCATCATTTTAGGGCTTTTACAGCAGTGCAATGGTGGGTGCGTTTTAAGGAGTAAAACAGCGCCTGAAACTGCTTTATCAAAACTGGCCCAAGATTTAGCCTTGACTTCTTCTTTTTTTCTTGAGGCTCTGGGGACAATGGTGATGGTTGCTGCGGTGGAAGTGCAGTCACAAAAGAGGTACTTCATGACATGGAAGGAGCGTATTTCAGAAGGAAAGAATGGAGGAACAAAGGTATTTACCTCAAAATCAGCCATTTGACACTCATCTTCCAAACAATTCTGCAAATAAAAGAGATTGCTTTTATCCTAACATGAAATCACATATGACTTCTCCAATCTGGCTTAGGACAGTTCTGTAGAAAACCACATTCCAGTTTGTGGCAAAACCAGCCCTAATGACTGAGCCGTTTATTGACAACTATCACAAAAAAGGTCATAAAACCAGGTCAGTCATGTGGGTGGTTATCACAACTTATGCCCCTTTTGGGCAGGCTATATTGAGGTCATAACTCAAGCTCTATTTGTACAGTATGTGATCCTAGGACAAAGGAATAACATGGCAACTGCATCAGCACAACTTTGTTTTAATCTTAGTGGCGGGTTGTTGTTTTTGGTGGTTTACTATATTGTGGAAATGCAGATTATTTGATCACCTTAGTACAGTGTTTAATATATTATGCAAACCCTAGAAATTCACTTGAATTTGTAGCCAAGACAAGAGGGTTACATGAAATTTATACAACACTAAAAATGTGGACTAAGTAATCCAGAGAAAGTTTTAGGCTTCATTATTATTTTTTGGATCATTTGAAAAATCCCTATTTCTCTTTTCCACATCGCCTGGTAAAACAGAGCCTGGAAAAGAAGATGAGGAAATGCACCACCTGACCAACAAAACTGCATTTGGACCACACAAGGTGAGTCACACCAAAAAGGGACAGAAATTACAGGGAGAGAAAGAAATCGCCCAGGGCAATCTTCCACAAGGGCAAAGATTCCTTGGGGACAGTTCTGAAAAGACATACAACCAAATGAATTTGGTTTGGGGGGTCAGTGTTCTTATAACACAGGGATGCTTCATTGCAGGCAAACAGTATATTACTCAAAAAAGAGGAAAAAAAGCAGAAAATGAAGAGCTACTCACTATTAATTTTTCAGTATCTTGTTCATTTAAAGCATTCTATAAAAGAATCAAGCACATCAAATGTTGTCACAATGAAAGTACCCAGCAGATTTCTAATCCATGCCATCGCTACCATCCTAGCTATCATTGACATGAATTTGTACTTCGCTCCACTTAGGAAACACACATTCCTTATGAAAACAAGAAGTGATTCTAAAAACAATTTGAATTAATGGTGTTGTTAGGGTTTCTTTTCCTTTTCCTTCCCTTTTGAATTTTCTTTGACCTTCACAGAATCAAAATATGCATTGAGGAACCTGAGGAATAATGGTTGAAACAGATAAGATTAGGAAACAGGATCTATACCAGACAGGGCACTTGGGGGTAGATGCTCTTTTGAGAACATTACCCTACATGTCCACATTCCGTTCCTTAATCGAGATTCACATTAGTTACACACCTAGACATCTTTATGTTGGAATGTTGTTTTTTTATGTACCCCTTTATGTACCCCTGTCTCTTCCTCCTCCAAATAAGTTCAAATGTGAAATATACTCATGATTATATATACAGAGTTGTGTCTCTATCTACATGCACTCTACTTGATTTTCAGTGTAGCCATGTGGGGAAAAGGAGCTGCTGAAATTCCACAATAGCATCTTATCTCCTCTTTCAACTTCTACAAGAATCTCAGCTCAGTTTCAGAGCATTTTCTGGCCAGAAAAGGGTTCAAAAAAGATTTAGGCCATCCTGAGTCCTAAAACCTTTATTTAAGTACTCAACACCCACAGCCATTCCCAAAACTTTGGAAGGGTTGGAAGTATACAATATTTATTAAGAATGGATATCATAGCTTTCATCATAAAACAAGATAACTCTCCCCCTAAATATAGAACCTTGCTATCATTCACTTCTTTGTATATGTCCGCTAAGTTCTGGTGAGGTAGAATCCCAAAAGGGTCTCTTAATTGCATGCAATAGAGATATTTCACAATGAAAGGGAAAAAGAGGGTCAAAGAGTTACTTACGATTATTTCCATTGTATCTTTCTCACTCAGTGCATCCTACAATGGAAACAAAGGGTATTAGATCAACTTTCTCATAGGATTGGTCCCCAGGCAGCATGCTTTAAGATGGGTGGATTCCAATCACTTCCCTTTCTGAGCTGGGGAATTCTGGGAGTTGTAGCCCACACATCTTAATATTGCTGAAGTTGAGATATACTTCACTAGAGGGGGGAAACTCTCCGCAGGCCCCCTCCTCCTGGCAACCATTCTTGAACCAAGTAATTCAAATCAAGTAACATATAAGATGCCGGGACCTATGATTCCAATGGGAATTAAATTAGGGAACGTTGTGACCACCTCCACACCTTCCAACTACACTTTTGAAAACCCATAGGTTGTGTGGCGCAAGGGAAGATAGGAGGAACCTTTCCCTGATGTTTTTCCCGCCTCCCTCTGGCCCCCGTGCCCAATCAGTTGGCAGCAAGACTGATGGTCTAGAACAGTGGTCGCCAACCGGTGGGCCGCGACCCACTGGTGGGCCACGAGAAAATTTTGGTGGGCCACAGAGAAATCTCACCCCCAGAGCAACCCCCCCCCAAAGCAATTAATACAGGCTGCGCAGAAACACAAGGCTGCGCTGCCCACATGGCCCGCTGGCACCCTCCCCGCCCACTCACTCCTTACCCAGCAAACTTGCCTGCTAAATTGCTATTTTTCCAACCATCAGCTGTAAGATTTAGATTAGCTAGGAAAGCAGGAAATGGCTGGATTTCTTGCTTTCTAGCTAGTCTTTAGATCTTCAGCTCTGCTTTTAAGCACAGCTGAACCTCCCTTAGGACTGAAGGTTCTATGATTCAGTGCAGACTCACGGCAAGCAAATTTTATGTGACAGACTGAGCTAGCTGATGGCAGATAGATAGATCACTGAATGATTCTGTGAGCAACTCAGTCTGCTTTGCCTGATTTTGGGTAAAAATTCCTCTTTATATAAAAAATTCAATAATTACATACATGGTGTGTTGTGAGTTAATATTGTGAGTTTGCTTGCAAGCAAATTTTATGCGACAGACTGAACTAGCCGATGGCAGATAAATAGATCACTGAATAAATGTGTGATTCTGTAAGCAACTCAATCTGCCTGCCCACTTTGTCTGATTTTGGGTAAAAGTTGCTCTTTTTTATAAAAAAAATTCTATATATATATATATATATATATATATATATAAATATTTATAATATTTACATACCAGCCATGCCCAACCAGTCACATGACCACCAAGCCACACCCACAATTTAGGCCACGCCCACGTAACTTGTTAGTGGTCCCTGGGATTTAAAATTATGGGTTTGGTGGTCCCTGAGGTCCAAAAGGTTGGCGACCCCTGGTCTAGAAGCCATTGTCTGCTTTGGAACAAAGGCCAAAATCTGAAATCAGGGCTGGTTAGGGGATGCCGATTAAGGTGGGACTGGCCAGGAGGCACCGGCACTCAATGGGGAAGTCCTCTGCCTATCTGGACGAAGGGAGCTTCTGGGGCACATGCTGGAATGGGGAGCAGGGTGCAGTTTTGCTCGCAGTCTGTGGCTCCCTTTGTGGTATTTTTCTGAAGCTGATCAATTAAGCAGAGAAGTGATATGTTTAATTTAAAAATGGAAGAGCTGAAATTAATTGCAGTAACTATGAATTGGTGTTTGGTGAATGTGGGTGGAAACATGAATCCATAGGTTGCTGATAGTTGCTTTTTTAGCCTCCAGGAAATTCAATAATTGAGGACTGAGATTACTCAAAGAAAAGGGCTCTAGATAAGGAAAAAATTCTTGACAGTGAGAACAATTAATCAGTGGAACAATTTGCCTTCAGAAATAGTGGGTGCTCCATCACTGGAAGCCTTTAAGAAGAGATCGGACAGTAATTTGTCCGGAATGGTAGGGTCTCCTGCCATGAGCAGGGGTTGGACTAGATGACCTACAAGGTCCCTCCCGACTCTGTTATTCTGTATTTTGTACTTACTAGAACTTTGTTCATCATTTCATTGCCATTTTCCTACAAGGGAAATGAAAGGTATCAGTCTGATGCTCTCATAAAACCATATATGACTTCTCCAACTGTTCCATTACTAGACAGCACACATATGAATGGCCGCATTTTTCCAAATAGGAAACACACATTTCGTGCTACAGGAGGGAGCAAGCGACAGGGGCCAAATCCCCAAACTGGAATTAATGGTCTTCTCAGACCTTTTTTATCCTTCCTCTTTTTTTCAATAGGGGGATAGATATTTTCCCAAAGGCGAAAAAAATCAGGACATCCAGTATGATATAACTTACTTACCGTAGACTCTCCATCCGCATTATTCTTGTTATCCTGAGAAGAAAACAAGAAAACTTTAGGGCAGGACTCTTTAAACTTGGCAGCTTTAAAGACTTATGGACTTCAACTCCCAGAATTCCTCCTCCTGTCATGTTAGCTCAGGAAATCTGGGGGTTGAGGTCTACAAGTCTTAAACTTGCCAAGTTTGAAGGCCCTTGCTTTAGGGTTAGGGTTAGCTCCCTTAGATGTCTACAGCTTATAGTTACATATGCTACACAGACTAAGCACCAATGAAGCTCTGAATTTTGCTTTTGATTAAAAGACTAAGGACTCGTAGCCCTCTGCATTTTCAACTCCTTGATGAAGAAGTGTTAATTAAAAAATGGGGACAAGTTCAACAAAACACTTGTTTCAGCTGCAGGCACCCCAGCTGAAAGGTTGTTGCAATTTGCAACCCACAAAATTTAGCCTTACCTGCTGTGCAGAAAGAGTAAAAGTCAAAGCAAAGGTTAAAAGGAGACGCATCTCCTTGGTTGCTCTTCAGCTCCCACTGTTCCTTGGCGTTCTTCTAAGTGACTTTATTCAGCTCCACTGGCACATTTTAATATCTTAATCCTTAGGCCTCATTGCCCAAACCCAAAGCCTTTATTGTTACTTTATTTACAAGGAAATGTTAAGCTTCCATTGCATCATGCACTGTTATTCCATCGTCCATGCTCAAAGTGAAACTAAGAAGCAGAACTTGTGTCTCTGCCCTCTGTGGAGTCTTAACATCGTGCAGGTAACACATCTTCCTGTAATTTTTCCATAGCAAATTGGCTAAAAGAGTGGTCCACACATGGAAGCCACATGGCTGAAAGTCTTTGGAGATTCTAAGACCCCCAGGTCATGGTTGTCCCAAAGGGGCTTTTTCAAGAGGCAAAACTGGACTTTCTTGGTTTTTCTTTGAAGACGTTTTGCTTCTCATCCAAGAAGTTTCTTCAACTCTCAGAGAAGCTAAATTGGATGAGAAGCGAAACATCTTCAAAGAAAAGCAGAAAGTCCAATTTTGCCTCTTGAAAGATCACCTTTGGATACATGGCTGAAAGTGCCCCACGACCTTGAGCAGGGGGTTGGACTAGATGACCTACAAGGTCCCTTCCAACTCTGAGTATCTGTTATCTGTTACCTGTATCTGCCTGATCCTACTCCAACATTTAACACCTTGACCTCTTATTTTTTATTGTACCTTGAATACAGTTCTGGTTCTGAGGTAAATCAGATTAAAAATAATTAATCAGCCCAGCATGGAATCACAGTTGATCACCTTCTTTAAATGTTTTGCCCGACTGACGGGACTTACTCCATGTCTACCAAGCATTGGAAGAGGGCTCATCTTCCTCAATTGGCAACTTTGGTGCAATTTTTTTTTAAAAGCCAAGCCATCACTTGAGACCTTCAAGAAGAGATTGGACTGCCATTTGTCAGAAATGGTGTAGGGTCTCCCGCTTGGGTGGGGGGGTTGGACTAGATGACCTATAAAGTCTCTTCCAACACTTATTATCTATTATCTGTTATATCTAATCTCTCCACTTGCATCTTCTGGCTAGGAAGAAAGAGGGAAACATTCTCTCAAAGTTCTCCACAGAAAATGATAAGACCAACAAGAGTTATTTTGACCATTAGTAGGCACTTCATATTTATTCTATCGGGATTCTTCAGACATATTCTTCAGATATTATTAAATGGGGTTTCAATCTCTACTAGGAATTGAACGCATTATAAATGACCATGTACAGCACATTTGTTTAAGGAGTCTATCCACGTTCTGGTGCTCAGCCTCGTAACAGAGAGTGCGAAACTTTCAAAAAAGCTCTGGTGAACCGCCACATCTGAAAGGCCCCAAATAGGATGAAGCCAGTCTTAGAGTCCTCCTAGTAGTTAAGGTAACTAAAGCCACCACACAGGATACTCGGTGTCTAAAAATAGAGAAACCCCCCCCTCCTTCCAAGAGTGGATGGAAGTCATATAAAAGACATGTGGGGAGTGAGGGAAATGACATGGGCCAGGCTGAATTAGACAGATAGAGCTGAGGTGGCTGAGTGTGGGTGTGAACATGGAGTATGTGTGTGTCTGTGTGTGCAGGTGTGGGTGTGGGAGGCCACAATGAGGCATCAGAAGAGGCGGTTGGACATTCCGAGTCACCAGGTGCTCCCTCAGAGTGTGAAGAAAATCTGCCCCGAGACAGAGAAAGCCCGCCAAAACTGAGGTAAATGGATTCGACCAATCAAGGCCGCTGACATCACCTACGAGCTGTATAAATACCGCTTGTCAGGGGATGCTGTGTTTCCTTGTTTTGAGACACCTGCAAGGAAAGGGGGCAATTTTGCTTGTGTCGCTGAGTCCAACAAGCATCAAAAATGGGATGCAAAATTTGGTTCCCCTCAGCTTTGGAGGGAATTCTCGGGTCAAAGAGTCTCCAGGCCTCATTTTTGCAGCTTTGTTTTCAGGAGTTAAAGAACACATTTAACAATTAAATAAAATAGCCCAATGTGGCTTAGGCAGCCAGGTAAACATGGCTTGGGGAGTGAACGATATGACAGTGCCCATCTTGGCTTTTTATTTTGGTCGCTTATATGTCAACTGCAGTTCCTCCCCCAAAAAGCCAAATAAATGTAAGCATTTAATCTTTATTAAAATCTTTATGTGGACTACACCAATCCAGCAGCAGGACACAGGGTCCCCTGGAAAGCCTCAAGAGAGAAAAATGGAAGGTCACTGCCAGCACTGCCCTCTTTCCCCCTTCCTCCATGCTTAGCATTGGATATAAGAAAGGACCACGTCTCCATCGATCTGGAGGGTGTTGATCTGTGAGAAGTTGTGGTAACGATGGGCGTAGTTGAAGAAAGGCTGGCCGTTGACATAAACCTTGAATCGGTGGTTGCCGCAGCGGATTGAGAGCTGGGAAGAGAAGAAAGATGTTAGTGTGGTTGAAACAGCACATCTGGATCAACTTCGGTCCTGGAGCCTGCATCAAAATCAGAAGACACTCACAATACCATAAGGGGTGGTGCTTTGGGGGGGGGGGTTTGCAACTGTTACCCTTTTTTCTCCTCTCCCCTAATGCATCAAGAGCAACGTGAAGACAATTTTCCAGGAGAGAAGTAAAAAAGGGATTCTGAATGGCATTTTGGAGAGGCAGTTCCACTCTTATCCACAATTACAGATTAACAGAGTTGGAAGGGACCTTGTAAGTCATCTAGTCCAACCTCCCACCCAAGCAGACCCTACACCATTTCTGACAGATGGCAGTCCGGTCTCTTCTTGAAAGCCTCCAGTGATGAAACTTCCACAATTTTAGAAAATTTATCCTTATTTCTAGAATCTCTCCTTGTTCAGTTTCCGTCCATTATTCCTTGTCTGGCCTTCGGATGCTTTGGAAAATAGCTTGACCCCCTCCTCTCTGTGGCAGCCCCTCAAATATTGGGAGACTGCTATCATTAGACTAGCCAGGCCCAGTTCCTGCAACCGTTCATGGTATGTTTTATCCTCCAGTCCCCTCATCATCTTGGTTGCTCTTCTCTGCACTCTTTCCAGAGTCTCAACATCTTTTTTGGTGACCAAAACCACACTATGTTGGGTGATTCATCCCAACATCCTTCCAGAGCAAGGGTCTTCCATCTTGGCAACTTTAAGACTTGTGGACTTCAACTCCCAGAATTCCTGAGCTAACATGACTGGAGGAAAAATTCTGGGAGTTGAAGTCCACAAGTCTTAAAGCTGTCAAGTTTGAAGACCCCCGTTCCAAAGGTTCAGATTTCAATGCCTCATGACTGTGCTTGCTGGGAATTATGGGAGATGGAGCCTTACACCTCTGGAGGCATGACACTGGATCTTCTCTTCTCCAGTACCTGCCTGCTTGCCTTCTCACCGGTCTAGCTCTTTGCTGGAATCCAGAGATATCTCCGTGAGCCAGATAAAATAGGAACCAGCTGTGGCTGCCATGTTGACTTTTTTGAACCTCTGTGCTTGACTGGACCCCCCCTCTGTGCTGGAATCAAAGCCAACTGACCTCAAAGTACTGTCCAGGTTGGAAAGGGTTAAAGGGCAGCTCCCGTTCCTCAGGACCCCATTTGCCATTCAGAAAACTGTTGCGCACTACGGTTTGTTCTTGCCTGCGTGGATTGATGTGCAGGGCAATATCCTCTCCAGCCTTAAGATTGATGTGGAACCTTTGAAAGAGGGGAAAAAGCAAACATAAAGACTATTGAACAAAATGAAGGGAAATCTGATTATTCCCCTGTCTCCCTGCTGGAAGCTTCCATGGGTAAAGGAAAAAAACAGCTCTTGTTCATGATAAATATTATTTATTGGTAGACTGCTGCTGATTGTGTAAGTTCATGTAGCATTTTAGGCATTTATTCATTATATTTAACTCCTGCCTCATCCAAATCATCCAAATCAGCTCTCGGTGGGCTATAAATGAAGCACACAAATGCGGGGAAAACCCCACATGTTCAACAGCAGTCTAGCAGCGAACAGCATTCTTTTTATCAGGGCTACCCAAATTTGGGAACTTTAAGACTTGTGGATTTCAACTCCCAAAATTCTCCAGCCAGCTATGTCCACAAGTCTTAAAGTTTCCAAGTGTGGAGACCTCTGCTTTTGATGAACGACAGGCGGTCCCTGCTTAATGACAGTTCAAGTCCTAACCATTCTTTAAAAGGATCCTCAAACTCTTTATCTGGTCCATCTCTTCATGAAGTTTGGGATTCTCCATGTTGGGAACCCTGCCATAAGCTAGCCGACCTTGCTCCTCCTTGTGGCAATGAATTCCACAGATGATGTGTGAGCTTGTGCTTTTACTACTCTTAGCCTCCTTGCCCTCTGGGCTGTCCCCTGCAGATGTGCAGAGATGAAAAAAAAATCAGAGAAAGGAGATGAACTGGGAAAGGTCTAACACGAGTGTTTTGTTGTGCCAAAGCCAGAATCCTGGTGTCTAACTTGCAGGAGGGAGCAAGTCGGTGCCAGGGACAGGCTGGCAGGGTGAGGCTGGTAGCCCTGATTGCAGAAAGGCAGTGATGCCCAATTGTGAGAGCAATTCCATTCCTCTGCCGGAATCCCCAAATGCACACTGAGAAAGGGAGCAGAGACCTGTTGAAGTTCATTGGAATAGAGCCGCGTACTATGAAGGTCCTCTTGGCTCCCAGACCTCCAGAAATGTTGCCTGTGTAGGGCACCGGCTGAAATAAGACACAAATCCAGGTTACACTCAACGCCCGTTCCCTACACCAACCGACTGTGTGGCCCTGCTGAGGTAGCTGCAATCCAGTCGATCTTGGGTTGTCAAGCAAGGGCTCCATCTTATGGCGCAGAAGACAGCTTGCAGGAGCTTATCTTGGATGGATTTTTCCTGCCTTCCTCAGTGGTTTCAAGCATATCTGCCTTCAAACCAGACAAGTACTTTTTGGCCTCAAAAGACAGATACGTTCAAATGGTTTATTTGCACAGCAGGATGAGGTCAAAATAATCAAGATGGCAGCCATCAAAGCCCAACCTGTTGGGCAACAATACTTACAGCAACCTGAACAGCCTTATTGGGCATAGCTTAGTGTAGTACGATAACTTTGAAATTAGATAAGTGTATGTACAAATATAAAGGAACTAATTAAGCTTAATTGCACACTTGCTTTTTGTCCAAATAACACAAAAACTCTAGAAAACTCATATTTCCAGTGGCTTGAACTCAATTTTATGACAGTTCCAAGCCAAAGAGCAGGAAATACAAGCCTCCTTCAATTCCACCTGAACATAGGTAATCCTCAATTTATGACCACAGGTGGGCCCAAAATGTACGTTGCTAAGCAAGACATTTGTAAAGAGACTTTTGCCCCATCCTATAACCTTTCTTGCCACGGTTGTTAAAGGAATCATTGCAGTTGTTAAGTTAGTATAACACACAATGGTTAAGTGAATCTCGCATCCCCATTGACTTTGCTTGTCAGAAGGTTGAAAAACTTGGTCACATGACCCTGGGACACTGCAACCATCACAACTATGAGTCAACTGCCGAGGGTCTGAATTTTGATCATGTGACCATAGGGATGCTACAATGGTTGTGTGATGACCCGGGGCGTGGCACAAAGGCAACACAGTCAGATAATCAGCAGGAGTCCCTTTATTAGCTCCAACTTTGCCCCCCGATGTTCAGGTTACCTTCTGGCTGGAGAAAATCTCTCCCAGGAACAGCCTTTGGCTGCAGGGAAACAAGTCCAAAACGTGGTCAACAAAAACTGTAACTATAAGTCCAATTAAGGCAAAGGAGGTAATTAGTCCAGCAGGGCAGGAGAAGGAATTCCAGACATGAAGGCACAGCAATAGCTCAACATGGTTGGGAGGATGCCAGGAACACAGATAAGCAAAGTCAACACAAGATAAACTCACATTTGCTCTCAGCAGCTACTGCACTCAGCATGCATCTCTTTTAAACTCTTCCCAGGTGTGGCTAATGAAGGGAATCAGGGCCCTTTCCTCCCCTGTAAGCCACGCAACTCACGTTGCTGTCTTCTCCATTCCTCCCTGCATGCCTGAAGAGGAGATGGGCCTGGGTCTTTCTCTGAACTCCCTCTCCCTTGCTCTACCTCTCTCTCCTGCTCTTCCCAGCCGGACTTTGCCCTTCCCCAGTTTCCTCCACAGCCAACAGAGCCACGCTCCCGCTCCCTGTCAGCTGTTCGTCTTCCTTCTCAGATTCAGTCTCCAACAGGGGCATGACAGGTGATAAGTGTGAAAAATGGTCATAGGTCCCCTTTTTCAGTGCCGTTGAACTTCGAATGGTCACTAAATGAACTGTTGTAAGTCAAGGACTACCTGTACACACACACATGCACACACAAACTCCCCACCTCCTGGTGTATGTCACATCCTGCAAATTCAGGAGGAATAGGCTGGGTTAGAAAGTCTTTTGGTACCTACTGGATGGTAGACTGCAGGGGACTGCATCATCTGGAGGGAGAAAAATCCAAAGAGACTTTTGTTAACTCCATGTTATTTCTCCTAAAATCCCTAGCCCTGAATTTCCTTGTGCACTGCCCCCCTTTCCCCTCTTCTGAGTACTTACAGGAAGACATTGTGGTGGCCCATATCCAGGGTTTGGCATCATATCCTAAAAGGTAGGAAGACAACCATGTTTGAGTTTGTGTGGCATATTCACCCAAGGTCAGTTGAAGCCTTCATGGCTGCCTTTGTACCATTTGTGCAACTCGGTTACTTTTAACTTGCATGGGTTCTGGAGAGATGCGTGGGCATCTTCTAAGCCCTTGGAGATGAGACCACGCAACATAAAGTTGCCAAGTTTCAGAAATTCTGTTTTATGGACCTCTGCAAGGGAGAAGCACAGGACTTTGGCCTGGGAGAAATTCGCTCCTTCTTCAGCTTGCTGATCGCAATATCACCCTTGGATAGTTATTTTTGCAAGCATGCATTTGTTGTGGTTAGCCAGCAGCAGGTGCAGATGGCTGAGGAGAGCGAGGACTCAGATGAGGGGCCAGGACCATCAGGGAGTGGACTGCTGCCTTCAAAGATTGTGGGGGCTGGCAGCAGTGATGAGGTTCCCGAGGAGCCTGTGCCAAGTGCACGTATGCGCAGGATTGCTCATAGGAAAGAGCAGTTACAACAGCACGGGTGACTCTGGAGTAAGGCTGCAAGGTAATGACCCCTCCTTCAAGGAGATAAAAGCCAGCTGTGAAACAAACGTACTTTGCAGAAAGCAAAGACGTTTTGAAACTCCAGCCTCGTGGACATTCCAGTATCCTGAGTTTTTATTTGAAGATTCTTGTATTGCAAATTATTTCTTGTCTGTTATCTTTTGGCAAGTCTCTCACAGTTTGGCAAGGCTTGTGCTTATCACAGCTAATTATTTTGTAAAAGCATTACAAGGTTTCTGTTCCTTTTGGATTGTGTTTGATTTGTCAGAAAAGGGCTTAAGTCAAAACAGCATTGATGTAAGCCATGTCAATTGAGGACCCAGAGGGACAGCCATTCTTAGGAGTCAAGAAGAGTGGTCGGAGAAAGAGAATCTGGGATTGAACCAACCCAGAATCTATTCTCAAAGAGAGATCAAGGATCTGAAGGTGCCAACTTGTCCATAGCAAACCCCTTACCCCAGGGGTCCCCAAACTTGGCACCTTGAAGACTGGTGGACTTCAACTTCCAGAATTCTCTAGCCCTGGCTGGAGAATTCTGGGAGTTGAAGTCCACAAGTCTTAAAGTTGCCAAGTTTGGAGACCTCTCTGCCTTACCACGTTCCCCATCGTTGGTCTTCCCATCACGGTCAGAGATTGTAATTCCAGGTCTCCATCAGCACTCACGACCTGCACGCTCTGTGGGGGCATTCTGTGCCCATAGCTACAGAAGAAGTTTCTGTTCACCAGGATCTGTCAGAGAGCAAAGCCAAAGGGATCAATGCTCAGTTGGGATCACCCATTTTCGTTGCAGAAAAAAACCTGTTTATTCTTGCCAGGAACACATCCCCACTTCAAAGCTGAGCAGGGTTGGCCACAGAGGGGATTAAAAAGGATCAGAATGTGGACATGTAAAAAGGGGCAGCTCTTTATTTCACCGATAATCTTTTCTCCCCCCTAGACCAAAATGTTTTCCTTCAGCTAAGGTTGTCCTCATTAGTCACGGTTTGCAGTTATGACAGTGACGAAGTAGTAACTTTGCCACCAATCCTGTAGTTACAACCATCACCTACAGGTCTATAAAGCGTAAGAAAAGCTGAGTTCTGATCTCAAACAGTCTGTCAACTCATAAAATATTTCTATGGTCTTTTTAGAGATGCCAACAGAAAGGGAGCGGGGAGCAGTGCGGCAGCCTGCGAAACTGAAAATGCATTCCATAAATGTTTTCAAAGATAGTAACTTGGTGACCAAAGTTTCTGCTGCGCAAAATTCTAACTGGAGAGCATGACTGATGACTCTGGACTATGGATGTGTCCCATTGGAGAATATGAATTATGATACATCCAGGGGGTGGGGGGAAACCAGGGTCAAGGGTGACAATGAATGATGTGCCTCAGAGCCGGCTACATCCAGGCAGTGCCAGCATGTTAACTCCCAATAAATCCTTTGTAAGTTTTAGAAGTTTGACTCGAGACTCATGATTTAAATGGAGGGAACTGCCAGAATCCTGACAGCTAGCCGTCTCTGAGACACAGTCACATTTTCACTTAGAAACCATTTCACTTAATGACTAAGTTTTCTGGCTCCAGTTGTCATTGAATGGTGACTACCTCAACATCCCTTAAACCCTACCTGGAACTGATGAAGTTGGGAAAGTGGGTATTCCATACATTTGTGGTTCATTCCAGACAAAGGGTGAATTCTGATAAGGTGGGGAAGAAAGAGGCGCCAGCAGTCCCAAAAGAGCCTCTGCCAGGTGTACCAACCTGATATCCGACGTCGTTGACAATGAAGATGATCTCAAAATGTTCATGCTTCCGGAAGGGCATCTCGTGAATCTCTTCGTTTCCCCACCTGCCGGACTGAAACGTGTTAAGTACAGTTTTGTCCTTCCCATCAAAGCGAGGGTTGAAGTGGAAGGGAATGTCACCCCCTTCATGCTGGCCACAGGCAAAATTCACTCGGAATCTGGAAAAGAGTGAGGAAAAAAGAATAGGAAGATTAAATGGGAGGTGCAAGAACTTTCTCCTTTGCCATGAAGCTAGAATCCATAGAAAGCCAGTTTTTTGCCTGAAGAGAAGAATCAAGTTCCTAGTCCTCAGGGCTTGGGAACTCCCCTAGGAGTGGAAGAACCAGAAAGCAGAACTATCTGTGAAGAATTAGAAAAGGCTTTTAAGGTCAGAGTGAAAACTTTACCCAAGACCCGGAATCACATGAGCAGAAAATGTCCATTTCTTTATGTACAAATATACGAAGTTTTGGGATAATCTTGGTAATTTGGGTGATATAAAGCACCCATAACAAAATAATATTTTGTAATAGAATAGAATAGAACAGAACAGAATAGAACAGGAAAGAACAGAATAGAATAGAATAGAATAGAATAGAATAGAATAGAATAGAATAGAATAGAATAGAATAGAATAGA